GGTGGAAAGGTGAGCGGCGCAGGGGGGAAAAGAGAATCGGGGGGCGGGGGATCGCACGGGCGGGAAACGGTCACGCAGGGGAAGTCGGTGCGCGGGGGGGGAGCGGATCGAGACCGGGGGTGGGGATGATCGGAGTGGCAGGGGGAAAGAAGTGCACACGGGGGGGGAAGATTCAGGGTTGGGGAGATGGGGTTGGGTAGGCAGCGGTGGGGAGGGTGAAGAGAATCGGGGGAGGAGGGAGAACAATCGGAGGGAGAAGATCGCCCGGCAGGGGAAGAACGCCGCGTTGGGGGGGGGAAGATCGAGAGTCGGGGAGGGGAGGTTGCGCGGGAGCAGGATCGGAGTCACGACGAAGAAGAAGAAGATAAGAAGAAGAAGAGAGCGAAGAGAAAGAAGAAGAAGAAGAAAAGAAAAAAAATATATATATATATATCGTCAAATAGAATATATATATTGTCGTCGATTACTTATCTGCGCGGAGGTAGCAACGACGATGACGAGGACGGCACGGCGCGGCGACGAGGACGACGGGCACGGTGATGGGGATGTGGCACGACGATGACGATCGCGATGGTGACGATGATGACGTGGCACAGCGACGACGATTGCGACGATGACGATGATGACGTGACACAACGGCGACGATCACGGCGATGATGCTGATGATGGTCAGGTGGTGACGATGAAGCATGGTGGGTCGGGCGGTTTCGAACCGCTCTGATACCAGTGTGACGAGCGCGGGCCTGAGGGAGAGCGGAGGGAGAGGAGAGAGAGGGAGAGAGAGAGCACACAGACACACACTCACTCACTCGACACAACTGAGGGTCGGACGCAGACACAGTGGCAAGGGCACAAAGTCGAAGTCAAGTCACACTGAGTACGAGTACAGAAGCAGAAAACTGGTACGAGACTGGTCCCCGTACTGTACGGGGAGCCGGTATAAGTACCGGTGACACGTACGGTACCAGGGGTATTTCCGCAAAAGCCCCGAGGGCAGAACTGAAAAATGCGGTATTTGACAGTGGCGCCCGAATTGCAGCATGGCGCCAGTTGTCCAAAATCCGACGGTACCAAAGGAGGGGTTTGGAAAAAAGGGTGCCAGGCCGAAAACAGGATGCAGCAGAAACAGCAAAGACCAGGGATCGAGCCCTAGCGAAGTCCGTAACACAACAAGTTTTGGATGGCTTTTGACCAGGAGCAGTGCTATACTATGTGAGGCATAGAAGTATGACTTCGATCAGCCTTGGCAGGCTAGTTTTTGAGAGAAAATGTGGTCTGTGGTGTTTGTAGTGCTATGCTATGTGAGACATTCGTGATGTTTGTTTGCAGAGTGGTGGGGGAGGGGGGGCTAGCCCAGGGGGGGGAGAGGGCAGGGGCCAGGGTGCGGGGGGGAGAGGGGTTGATGGTGCGCCAAAGGAGGAGCGAGCAGCGGACTGGGAGGTGATGAGATTTCGTTTGTTGTTTTTTTCATTTTTGGAGAGGAGGAGGTGCACGACGAGGAGGATAAGCTCCGTGAGAAGTCTTCTTGCGTGGCTCGAACAAGGCGTCGTGCAGTTACCCTCGAAGCAGACGAAACACCAGCAGGGGCCAGTGGGCGGGGGGGAGAGGGGTTGATGGTGCACCAGAGGAGGAGCGGACACGGGAGTGGGAGGTGATGAGATTTCGTTTGTTTTTTTTTTTTCATTTTTGGAGAGGATGTGGTCCACTACGAGGAGGATAATCTCTGTGAGAAGTCTTCTTGCCTGGCTCGAGCAAGGCTTCGTGTGGTAACCCTCGAAGCAGACAAAGCAACAGCAGGGGCCAGGGGGGGGGAAGGGGAGGGGTTGATGGGGCGCCAGAGGAGGAGCGGACAACGAAGTGGGAGGTGATGATATTTCGTTTGTTGTTTTGTTTTCATTTTTGGAGAGGAGGAGGTCCACGACGGGAAGGATAAGCTCTGTGAGAACTCTTTTTGCCTGGCTCGAACAAGGCGTCGTGCGGTTACCCTCGAAGCAGACAAAGCAACAGCAGGGCCCAGGGGGGGGGCAGAGGGGTTGATGGTGCGGGGAGTGGTTGATGGGGCGCCAGAGGAGGAGCGGACAGCGGAGTGGGAGGTGATGAGATTTCGTTTGTTGTTTTGTTTTCATTTTTGGAGAGGAGGAGGTCCACGACGAGAAGGATAAGCTCTGTGAGAAGTCTTTTTGCCTGGCTCGAACAAGGCGTCGTGCGGTTACCCTCGAAGCAGACAAAGCAACAGCAGGGGCCAGGGGGGGGGGGAGAGGGGTTGCTGGTGCGCCAGGATGTTTGTTTGCAGAGTGGTGGGGGAGGGGGGGCTACCCCAAGGAGGGGAGAGGGCAGGGGCCAGGGTGTGGGGGGGAGAGGGGTTGATGGTGTGCCAGAGGAGGAGCGAGCAGTGGAGTGGGAGTTGATGAGATTTCTTTTTGTTTTTTTTTTTCATTTTTGGAGAGGAGGAGGTGCACGACGAGGAGGATAAGCTCTGTGAGAAGTCTTTTTGCCTGGCTCGAACAAGGCGTCGTGCGGTTACCCTCGGAGCAGAGGAAGCACCACCAGGGACCAGGGGGCGGGGGGGAGAGGGGTTGATGGTGCGCCAGAGGAGGAGCGGGCAGCGGAGTGGGAGGTGATGAGATTTCGTTTGGTGTTTTTTTTTGTTCATTTTTGGGGAGGACGAGGTCCACGACGAGGAGGATAAGCTCTGTGAGAAGTCTTCTTGCCTGGCTCGAACAAGGCGTTGTGCGGTTACCCTCGAAGCAGACGAAGCACAAGAGAAAGATAAGCAGGAAGAGGGGGAGGAAGATGAGTATGACGACGAGGAATAGGAGGAGGAAGAGGCGGAGGACGAGGAGAAGGACGAGGAGGAGGATGGGGCGGAAGAGGAGGAAGATGACTGCTTTTTTTAGGTGCATTGTTTGGATAAAAACTTCAAGAAGTCTTCATTTTTCTTTTTCTGCTGGCGATTCTTAGAAGCCATTGTAGGGCTCATCATTGAAGGAGGACGAGTGTTTTTTTTTTAAGAGAACAAGGTAGCTGCAGGGAACCAGTCAGTGAGAACACAAAATTTCCGAGATGCAAAAGAGTCATAGCAGACCAAGCATGTGAAAGCCGAGTTCAGAGCAGAATTACAAACGGTCTCGCCGCACGGCACACGAAACGAAACGAAACGAGTGCATCTGCCCACGAAAGGTGGCAAAATACACTCGTATCTATTTATAGCCAACCGACGAACCTGGCCATTTTCTGCAGGAAGATGCACTCGTTTCGTTTTTCGTTTCGTGTCCCGTGCGGCGACGCCCAAAGACTGAGAGCTTACAAGCTTACCAAATGAGAGCAAACTCTCTTGACAAAGAGAGGCCAACTTCTCGTCTCCAATGACCAACACAGCAAAAGTGTAGTAGCCGAACTATACTGTGTCCGGCTATGCGGCTTCCCCACTCTACCACTGTACACGTAGACTCTTCTTTCTTTTGTGGGACAATGCTCCAATCTATTGGTGGGGAGCAACACGT